AAGTATAAACAAAACAGCACTACGCATGGCAAAAGCAATGGGAAACATAATTGTGCTCTGCATAATAAGATCCAGTTCAAAATGTGAACACTGCATCACAAACTGATGTCACAAGCAGAAGACACATTATTGGGTACTCTAGCCCATATTGAAGAATTAAGAACTATGGTATTAAAAAGCAGCTGCAGCATTTATGTACAATTACATGAATCTGCATTTATACTGTCTTGTCATCGGTGTACTATACTAGAAAATGCAGGATTCCCAGCTTTTAAAGACTATTATAAATATATTGCATTTAGCAAACATTTAATGCACCAATATGGTGATAAGGTGATTAAGGCATGATCTGCTTGTTTACAGGGAAATAATTGTGTCTGTAGGCACTCTTGCAATGCTTTGACCTTTCTCATAGGAATGATCAATTGCCCAGTTGCATGGCAGTGCTCTCTGTCTGTAGTCATAAATAGACACGTCCAGGAAATTCAAGTGTTCATACTTCCTGAAACGATCTTCTATGAGAGAAGTCTTTCTGTTGTCTGTTTGTACCTGCACATTTGATTACCACTTGATATCTAAGGGTACTTTGGAATTGTTTAACTGTAAGGTGAATTTGGAACTCAAGCTAATCGGCTAACTACATAGTTGAAATACATATATGTAAAGCAGTAAGTATGTATGTATTTCAGCCATGTATATTTAGCGGTTTGCCTGGAGTTTTTCTTAATGTGATATACTCGGTGTAGGGCTCAACTGGAATTTCCTGAAAATCACTATCCATGAGTCATAATTGAAGGCCTTATCCCACAAGACTGTGCCAAAGGACAAGTACATCACATTTTCTTTTTTCTTCCACATTTTTGGCATACAGTACTTGTAAAATAGCCATTGTTAATTTTGCAAAGGTGTCAACTACTGTCTGTCAGTAATTTTTTTGATCTACACATCTGGGATAATATAATGCTTTAGTTTTAATATATTAAGATGGAACTACCATTTAAATAGTTGTATAGAAATTAGTTAGGAAAGTTAAGAAACATGGTTGAAACGCAATCCTATCTAACTATTTATACATGGATGCCTGGAAGTAAGGCATGAGATAAAGGTAATGCGGGGAAATCATCAAATCTGGAGCAGACAGAATCTGGAGAAGTTGCCCATGTCAACCAATCAGGTTCTCTCTTTCATTTTCAAAGCTTAACAGAACAAAAATTGAAAGTAGAAGCTATCTGGTTGCTATGGGCAGATTCTGGCTGCTCCAGTTTTCATGCATTTCCCACAATGAGTCTTTGAAAAATCCAACATATTTCTGAGGAATAGACTCCTCCTTTCTTAGGATTGTCCTAGCAGAATGCTGCTGCTATCTGATTTTAACATTTACAGCTGCCTTTCTCACTAACTAAGAAGATCTGAAAGCTCAATGTTGCTCCATGCGAGTAAGCACCTGCAGCAGTCAGCATCAGGTGCACTGCCAACCATTTTCTTTCCTCACCAAGTTACATTAAGGCCACCCATTGCAATCCCTCTGGTTGTGAGCAACCATTGGCCCATCTGGCCCGTTCCATCAGTTATCCATTGATTGGCCTAGCACCTTCTTAAAATACTTTCTAGGCTTATAGAAAGCCGTGATACCTTTTGATTCTTTCATATTTTTGCCCCTGCAGAATGCATTTCCTAGGAACCTTTTTCAGCATGCTTTGCTTAAACTGTGCGTACCACACATAGGCAATGTTATAACTTTACTGAAAACATTCTATGGGTAGATGAAACTATTCTTAAATGAACTATTCTTAAATTACTTTTTCATGTTTTTTTTATCCTGAATGTTCTACATATTAGTGCATGTCACAATCAATGGCAGTAATTTTGGGATCTCAGGGATATGTGTGAGGTACTTATGCTTAGTAAGTAATTTGACAGTGTCAATCATATTGTGTAATGCCATGTTCCATATACGAGCCTATTTTCACATATATTAATAATTAAAACCAATGGGTTTGTAATATTGACAAGGACAGTGGCTTTACTGTATATAATGTTATCATTTTACACATAGCATGGATCAATTTTGATTAAAAATTCTAAAGTTCAAAAAAGAGCATACTGTAGGTTTGGTTCTATAGTGAGTAATGTTTTACTATGGTAATCGTTTGTGTATGTGTGATTTATATTTGCCAGTACTTAGAGCGGACTTTTTATGATACATTCAATTTAAAGTTGTAGTAATAAATGTGCTCCATTAAACATATCAAGGATATTGTAGTTTTGAAGAATAGTACTTCTGGGTTCCCTTATGTGGAAGTTCACAAAATCATCACTTAGCTAAATGGGAGGATCACTGGTCAGGCAGAGCCACTGATTGACCAGCTCTGCTTCAGAGTCCTAAAGCAAAAACAAGTCAACTAATGCTGAAGCAAAGATTATTTGACCGACCAACAGTGGAACTTGCTTTTCTAAAGGGAAAGTCAATATTTCACAGTTATCTTTTATATGTTCAATGTAATGCTATTGTTACTAAAGGTAATCACTAATCACTAAATGTGATTATTCTTGTAATTTTTGTTTGTGTTATGTATGTATTGTAGAAATGTATGTTTCTTTAATATTTTAACATATGTTAAAAAACATAAAAGTTGTCCTTCACTATACTGATGATCCCTATGAAGCTTATTCTTTTAAATTATATATTGGGTGATGACAATAGTAAAAATGTGTGAGTTATGCAATGTTTCAGTATGTCTGCATTACACTTTAGCTTAAAGGAGTTTTTCCGGCGTTCAAAATACACAAATCCAAGCAGGTATTTTACATATTACACTTGTATCATTCAAGTGTTTTATACAATTATAAAATAAAGATAATCAATATGTGGGGGAAACTGGGAATGGTCAAACAAGATCATTCAATACTTTTGCACCTCCAGATCTACATATATATTATACATTAATTAATATGTTTATCTGGACACACAATGCATATGAACATATCTATATCACAAAAATCCCACTACTGAGCATCTGTGTTGTCCAGAAAAAAACAGTGTACCTGTATATAATCTACACCATGTACATCAATCCAATAAAAATAATCTTTATTTAACCCACAATAATAAATAATACCATATATAGTAAGCAATATTATATATTAAAACCACCTAAAAACAGGCTACTAGTAGGTCAATATCACTATAGGTTCAATTCACAAAGCTAACACAGAAGGATAATTATTAGTTTACAGTGTTGTATAACCTACAGTGGAATCTTCCCACAATTAGTCTGCTCAATAAAGTATAAATGTGCATAACAACGCTGATAGTCTTCTTTCTTTATAAACACCTCTCGCCCAGTATTTAAAATATGTCAGACAGGCATAGCTTTAAAGTGTAGTAGGATCCATTAGATAAAAACTAATGCTGGAATACACATATGCAGATCTGTGAAATAGCATGAATATTTAGCTAACCGGATCTACTACATGCTGTCAATTTACTGATTTGTCATTTTTAGGTAGATAGTTTAGTTTTATTTTAGACATGACCGTACTCTATGGGGAGAGGAAATTTTACTTCCCAAGTTTCTAAAGACAACGCCAATATCTGTGGAAGATATTGATTTTACAGAGCCCCCTGGTACAGCTCCATGTCATTCACTCAAACTGCAAGCATTCATTTTTTATGATATTGGAATTATACATAAGTGGACTGAATGCATTTTTGTACATAAACTCCTGGAGTTCTGATTTATTAAAGCATATGTGCACTTCGACATATTCAGGGGGCTTTTTCTAGGTTCCATGAATCCCACATTGCACTCATAATCCGAAAATTAGCAAACAGTTACATTTACATAAGCAGCGTCGTAGAAGTTTATTTTCTAGACCTAGACCACTAAAACTGTTTACACTCAGAAAAGCAGCCTCACAGGTATTGGATCTGGCTAATCATATGCAAGATGCTCCACAGAGCAGAGGAAAATAAACTTTCTTTCGCATAAAGAAATCACCCTCAACTGTCTACCCAGGTCCACTCTTGGGAAACCCATGCAAATAACTTACTGTTTTTCCTTTGGGAACAATAACAGTTTCAGAAGATTTTATCTTCCCTAGAGAGGTTATGAGCATAAACAGAGAAATGGATGAGAATGTACTGTATATGGATTCAGACCAAGACAGTAAGCAATAATCTGATTTGATTGTTCTTGTTACAGCTGTGTTAGCTATGTGAATTAAAACTATAGTGATATCGACCTACTATTATGGATGTAGCTATAAAAAAAATTACATGTACAGCGTTTACATTCATTATATCCAAATGAACGCAAAAACAAGTGTTATTAGTATATGTTTTTTTCAGATGGATTGTAATGTCAGGAAAGTACTGCATTATGACCACTTGATGGATCTGAGCATAATAGGAAATACTTATTTTTTTTCCTGTGCCTCCGAGTGGCAACTAGTGGTGTTTTCCTAATATTACATTTAACCTGGAAACAAATATGCTAACATTTGTTTTTGCCTCCATTTGCACATAACACATGTAAATGCTGTTTCACAGGATGAATGGCTCTGCAAATTGTTTATAAATACACCCCAGTGGTGTGTAAGAGGTGTGTCCAAATCATACAAGGGACTGCACAGAATGACAAATATTTTGGCGGGTTGAATAGGTTAATAATACATTTTATGCACACTGTATTATATTTTCATATACCAGCTAAGTAATGGTTTAATTGTTAATTTAAAATAATGTTAACTAATCTCTGTTGCTTTAATGTTTATATTTTGATATTTATCTTACTTACAATTAGGTAAAAAAATGAAGATAAGATAGACCTATGTTTCTACTTGATGATAGTGCTGTTTGTGTAATCATTTCTTTTCCTCAGCATCTGGCTCTGGATCTCCGTGAAAATACCAGTTTATTGAAGGTTGCTTTCTTGGTTTCCCTCTTTTGCCAGACCTGTCCCTGGACTGTTTTTCTTAATGGTTCCTTTGTATTTCAGGCATATAGTGGTCTGTGGTCATATCACTTTAGAGAGTGTGTCCAACTTTTTGAAGGATTTCCTACACAAGGACCGGGATGATGTCAACGTGGAAATTGTATTCCTGCACAAGTAGGTAACCTCTCATGTTATGCAACAGGTGCAACATGTTTTGCAGTGTGGACTGTATATACTTATCCACTGCTTAGATGTTGCTTCTGAAAGACCATTTTAATGTAATTGTTGGGGTTTAATTCAGTAAAGTAGTGTAAGCTGGTTACTTAGCAAATGGTCACTTTGTGAATAGGGTGAAGTTGCGTTCACTTTAATCAACCAATCCTGTTTTTTTTAATTTACTTCACATATGATTCAGTATTCAAAGTGAACACAGTTTCATGTTATTTACCAATATTTACTTTGCTGAAAAAACATAATGCACTCCTTAAGAATATCAACCCCATTGTTTGATGCCTGCTTACCTATGTGTATTAAAAATGAACTATAACCTATCAGCAAATGCAGGTTGCTTCTCACTGCTTGCACCCAAAAACAGATATATCCTATAATGAAAACGTTAATGGTAAAAATAAATGGAAACACTCACTCTAGTTCTGGTTCTTTGCCAAATTGTATTGCAACTTTTGTCAAAGTTGCCTTCAGTCTGTACTGAATGCAGTATACTAAATTGAAAAATACAGTAGAACAATTAAGTAGTGGTTCACCAAATAATGCAATACCATTATAAAATTAAAATATTATTAAGTTAAGCATATGAATTCATGTGTTTATCTACATTGTATAAGTTGATATGTAGAGGATGAATTGTACCTTGTATCCACTGTGGTGGACATTTATCAATTCTGTTGCACAGCCAGGCAATGCCAAACAAACAGTGGGAAAGATTTATCAAAATTTGGCATCTTCAGCTGCTGTGAGACAGAATGAAACTTGACCATGGGGACTTTTTAATTGTGTGTCAGTTGTGAGTGAAAATCTATTTCATCTTGATGAAAATCTGTCTCACCTCCCAGTACTAAGCCTGTGCCCCCTTTGGTGAGATTCACGTTTACCCTCTGTCCTATCTTATAGTAGTCATCAGAATTTGGGAGAAAATCCCAATGAAGAAACCATTTATGGTGTAAAAGGTGGGTTTTTACCTCACTTTGGGAGATATTTTATTTTATGTTGTTTCTGCAAAAAGAAGTGACGTTTTCTCTCTAGTGGGAGCATATAAAAGCTGGAAGTTTTAACTAAATAAGGAATGCTCACTAGTCTAAACAGACTGTAAGATGACAACTGGATGGGTCAATATATAGAGGACATTACAGGACAGACCATAAAAGAGAGAAGCACAAGTCTTGTTTGTTGTGTGATGTCTATATAGGTTAGTACCAGAGGCGTAACTAGAACCTTCAGGGCCCCCGGTGCAAGAGACAATGAAGGGCCCCCTCAACCGCCATGGCACCGCATGTTAACAGGAAGGCTGCCGAGGTCCCCAGCAAGCTTGTGACCTCAGGCAGCTGCTTGTTTAAAATTTTAGTGCGGTGTTCTGTCGAGAACGCTGACCCAATATCTGCGCTTGCGTACAGATGGGATTACCGAGGAAACTTCCATTTATTTAAAGTATTTGTAATTTTTAATTGTGACCGTTAATAATGTACCGTATATGGCAGTGAATGACGGATGGAATATTATTAACAGTCACAATTAACGATTTAAACAAAATACTTTGTGAATAAATCCTGGTTTCCTCAATAACACTGGTCTGTGTGCAGATGCTGAGGTTGGCAAATTCGACTACGTCGGTGTTGTCGACAGAACACTGGTATCTCCGTTTAGTATCGGGGCATTTTCACGAGTGTGAGTACTCATTATAAATGCCCAGTATTGGCAGCCCAGTATTGGCAGTGGTGTATACCTACTTAAAAATATAATGCATTGCTGTGACTTGTAGTCCTACATAGTTGGTGCTATTCTGCATTGCTGTATAATCATCATACATCAATGCAGAATACCACCAGCTATGCAAGACAACAAGTCCCAGCAATACATTATAATAAAAGTCAGGTATGCAGAATACCAACACACCAGCATCCCCCCACACTATAATCCATTGCTGGGACTTGTAGTGCTACATAGTGCAAGTGGTTAGTACAGAACTGTGCGTTCACCTAAACTATTGCTATGCATATACAAGTGCACAGGAAAATAATTTTTATGGTGACAGAATGATCCTTAATTTCTCAAGATGGCTGTCAGTGGGACCAATGAACATTCCAGTGGAGAGTAAAACTTTATTTTATATTATAAACATAATCAGAGGCTAATTCATGTTGACACGTAAACCCCTTTTTTTCAGGCAATGATAATGTAAAAAGTAAGAAAGCACTCATGTAATCAAATAAAGATTTGCCATAAGGGGTGGAACATTTGGATCTAATGGGACATAACAAGTGACTTCTGACTCAAAAAGGAGAAGAAGGTGTTTGGCCAGCTGCTCACTAAATAATAATAAAGCTTTCAGAGGCTTTTAGAACCATTTCTATAGCCACCTAAAACTAACCTTTGGCTGCCAAGAAAGGTTATCATTCAGAATCTCTAAAGGTCTACTTGGTTTTTACCGTCTATCACTATTTTATGATTTATAAAGTTGTGTATAGAGATGGTAGCTTTTCTCTTTTGCCAGACGTGGCTGTGGTAATGCTACTTTTAAAAATTAAAATACAGAATCAAAAAATGATTTGGCCGTTGTTCAGCAATCACAGAAGGCCATGTAGACAGCACCCAGATAACCCTGCAATTGCCTAAGTTCTTCCACTATATATTTTCTGCTCTGCTTTTTCTAAAATCTATTGGAAGAATTTTGGGAGGCATTTAAATGTAAAAATAAAGTCAGTGTGGTAGATATGAACAAGAACAACACATAAAATGAAGTGACCTTAGTAACTGTATATCATCCTGTTTATCATCAATTATTTTGCTTTTCTGCAGCATATCTCCAAATTTGGAGCTAGAAGCTCTCTTCAAGAGGCACTTTACTCAGGTAGAATTTTACCAGGGATCTGTTCTGAATCCTCATGACCTCGCAAGAGTAAAGGTAAAAGGACCCAAACCCTTACAGTGCAATTGTGCATTTTGTTTCAAAATCATGTTCCCAGTTTAAAACGGCAGATAAGTGTACAGAGAGTTTATTTGGAAGCGGACAGGGGGAGTGAAAGTCATTGATGTTTTGTTTATTATTATATTATGTTTTGTTTAATTAGCACTGCTATGCTGTAACACTATGGCAGTAAAGGTTTTTTTTTTTTTTTTACACTTGAATAATATTGTAAGATATTTACACAGACACAAAATTAAATTAAAGTGAACATATTGTGACAAACAGCCACAATAGTTCCAGGAATATTATTGAATGGAGTTTGTGTATTTACTCAAGCATCCTGGTGAAGGGGTGAGTTTTCTGGTGTATTGTAGGTGGCGCCACTGTAGTTTAAGTCTTGTTGTATGTGTTTTGTTGTAGACTTGCAACCACAGATTTTTCTGTTATGTAAGAAAATGCTTAAAGGGGGACCTTGCATGACAGTACAAGATCTTGTTACTGAACTCCCCACCTCCCCAAAAAATAGTCAAGGCTAATAACCAGATGATTAGAACAATAAGGGAAAATATCACTCTGCCTGCATGACCTTTGAGACCTACAGTAAACCTATCTTCTATTCGATGGGAGTGTTCTCACTACTGATGTATAGAGTAATTATTGGGAAAGACCTCCTCCTCGTGGGACTTGTGTCATGGGTAGAGAAAGACTGTATGTGAGCCTGAGGGTGTACATGTTCACTTTGTACATGTTCACTAGCAGTGTTGGCATGTAAAAAAGAGGTTCCCCGTATATCTGAGCACAATGTCAGAGCTAGACACTTTCTGGAACTGTCCACTCAAGAGATCCCAAGAGAATGTGAAGGTAGTAAATAGAGAACGTTGGGTCCCAGGTGCTGGAAATGTTTCCTTATGTTGCTGGGAACCAACAGTTGCTATGTCAGGTTGACATGATTTTTCACGATATAAACAAGTGCTGAGTGCAATAACAATACTATTGGGGCACAATGCCATATAAGATTATGTAGGTAAATAAAATGTTGGGATTTCATCAAAACTGGAGCAGACAGAATCTGGAGCATTTGCCTATAGTAACCAATCAGATTCTCTTTTTGGTATGTTCTGTTAAGCTTTGAAGATGAAAGAGAGAAGCTGATTGGTTGCCATGGGCCACTGCTCCAGATTCTGTCAGCTACAGTTTTGATTAATTCCCCTCATTGTCTATGGCAGATATGAAGCACACAAAGGTAAAGAGTAAGTAGGTGTTCTGTGTTATGCATGTCTGCTTTTAGCTTCAGTTAGCAAAGAGGAAAATTAGTGGAACTTACTCCCAAGTAGAGGTGGTGCACTGTAGGGGGGAATCTGTCCTCAGCAATAGACTCGAGCATAAAAAAAAGTACTGAAAGCAAAGTTACCAGCACTAAGATTGTGTTTCTTACCACAATAGTGACTTGCTTAGCTGGGCTAACTATAGGTATAACAGCGTTTGGCTATTCACTTCGGCTCTATACGGCTGATTTTAGCCTTACATAGGCTAAAATCAGCCATTCATTGGCTGACTTTGGCTGGCTTCGGTCAGCCGAACATGCTCAGCATGTTCGGCTGAGCTGAAATGCAAAAGACGTTCAACTCAGCCGATCCAAAACTAAAATAAAAACCAAATCTTAAAAAAGTTATTACATTTTTTTTTTTTTAAACGTGTGGGGTCCCCCTCCCGATTCATGCCAGGCCCTTTATGTCTCGTAGGAATGTGAGGAGGGACCCCTAAAAAATTGCGTGGTGTCCCCCCCCCCAAAAGTCATACTAGGTCCTTTAGGCCTGATAGGAATTTTGAGAAACCCCACCCCCAAAAAGATGTGGGGTTCCCCTTAAAATTCCTAACCAGACCCTTGATCTGAGCACAGGACTGGCAGGGCATGAAACGGGGGAGGGGGGGGTCAAGCGAGCGCCCCGCCTTACCCGGCCACATACCCTCAAGGGTCTCTTCTCCACAAGCCCTGGGGCATTGGTTGAGGGGGTCTGTGGGCAGGCGGGCTTATTTGCATCCGTGTACCCTCTTTAACTACCTCCCGGCCGTTGTGTATAAACGGCCGGCCGGGAGCTTCCTGGATGTAACAGGTCGTGTATACACGGACTGTTAGTCCCGCCCACTTGTGCGCGGCACGCGCAAGCGGGAAAGACACAACATTTAAAACCCGGCAGCGATGCCTGTTAACATACAAGCAATACGCCGGCTACAGAGCCGGCGAATCGCTTGTATGAGGTCCCGGTATGTGCGCCCCCTCCGCGGCTCCCCACCTCCCGCTGTCATGCAGGTCCCGGGCTCCGCTGTGCCCGGGACTAGCATAGTGCCTCTCTGACAGGGGATTAGAGGGAGGTCGGTTCACAATCTCCCTCCGGTCCCCTCTCCGGTGTCAGAATGCGGAAGTGATATATATTACATCACTTCCGCATACTCGTGTCACACTCCAGCTTCAGATGCTGGAGAGAAGCTGATGAAGCAGATCTCTGCTTCATCAGCTTCTTCAGGGGGGTCCTAGGTGACATTAGGGGTCTAGGAGACCCCTGATGTCTCTATAAAGAGGACCTGTCACATCTTTTGCTATCACATAGGTGGTTTCTCCACCCCCTCTGTGATAGCAATAAAGTTAAGTGGGGAAAAAAATAGGAAAACAAATTAACGTTTTCCCCCCAAAAAAATTTCAGTTGCACAAAAAAAAGAATTACATTTTTTTTTTAAAGTCCCCACCCCTACATACACGCATGTAAACATGCGTCAGGTGCGCATACCTGTGAAAACGACGATTGCGCTCATTATGCCGCACATGTTACATATCGCCGTGAACGTCGCAGTGAGAGCAATAATTTTAGGGCCATCAATCACTGATAACACGAAACTAATGAGCTGTAAAAGCTTTTAAAGCGTCGCCTATGGTCAATTTTGGGTATGCTAGTTTTTTGCGATTTCGTGTGTGCGTGCAATTTTTAAGCTTGACATGTTTGGTGTCTATTTACCCAACGTGACCCCGACTTTTATATTTTACCAAAAAACTGGGGTAATAATAAATGTTTTATAACATAATGTAAAAAAAACCCTTTTTTTTTCAAAATTTTCAGTAATTTTTCCTTAATATAGTAAAAAATAAAACCCCCAGTGGTGATTAAATACCACCATAAGAAAGCTCTATCTGTCCCCAAAAAATGGTATAAATTTAATTTCAGTACAGTTTTGCATGACGGAATAAATGTCAGTCAAAGTACTGCAGCGCTGAATACTGAACAATGGCCTGGCCAGGAAGGGGGTCTAAACACCTGGTCAGCAAGTGGTTAATAAAGGGGGTGCTCAGATGCTGCCCCTCCTTTGTGAATGAGTAAGCATTACTTGTAACCTTACTCATTCACAAAGGAGGGGCAGCATCCCCAGCATTACTTTTAACCTTACTCATTCACTAAAGGGTTAACAATGAAATGTAAAGAAACACACCAGACTTTAATAAAAAAAATATTTTAATTGAAAAAAAAACAATACACATGTTTGACCTTTATTAAGTCCTTTATTAAAAAAAAAACCTTTATTAAAACAAAATCCCAAAAATGGATCCACAGACATAATCCAGGGTCAATCACTACATCCAGTGTTGTCTATGATGACAAGCAAAATATAAACGATTGGGCGAAGCTAATGGTGACATCATTTGTTTGACCGGCAACCAGTTGTTGTCATTTAATGGCAGCCCACTTTCCTCAAATAACTTCAATGCTGGTCTGTCATTGAATAATGACAACAACTCCGCCCAGTTGTCATTTGCGGGAAGAATGGTCGGCTTAGCAGACCGTTCTCTCCACTTCGGCTGTGACTACGGCTCAGCCGCCTTCAGCTGCTGTACGGGCTATTGTGAATAGCCCGTACAGCAGCCCTTCCATTCGACTGAAACGAAAGGCGGCGCCGGCCGAAGTGAGCCAAAGGATCAGCCAAAGCTACGGCTAGATCCTTCTGCAACTTAGTGAATAACCCTCTTAGCCTTCAAAACATCAACATGATACATAGGCTGCCATTGTTAAACACTTATAAAAATAAGAGTTTCCTGGCTGTCATGCTGTTCCAAAAACCTCAGTGCAGTTCAATCCTGACCAGAATCAGTCATGTAGATCAGTGGTTTATGCGCACTTCACTAGCTGCAAGCTTGTCTTAGGTCAGAAATGGAGAATGTATTGAGATTTAGGATTTTCAGGAGATAGTCAGCAATGGTAGCCTCCATATTCCCCTGAGGTGTCTTTTAAAGAATTCGCCCAAGCAAGAGTTACATTTTTGTTCTTCCTTATTTTATGATCACAGCTGGTGTGCACATGCAGAAACTCGAGTGCAGCGATCATACCAATAAAGTTCTTGAGAGATACAGTATACAACACTATCAGGTTGTATTGTGGTGCAACTTAAAGTAGTGTCAACCTCTCAAACTTTTTTCAATAATGAATCCAGATCAAACAAATAAACAGTACATTGCCTAGCAAAGTATCTATTTACATTTTGCCCAAGTGCTTACAATCATCATGTTCCCAAACAGCTGGCTCCAACTCTCTCAGCTTCCTCTCAAGTACAAGGTCACAAGAGACAGAGCAGTCTCCAGTAGCTCTCCATCTACTAGTCCAGAGGAGGAAGGAGGGAGTAGCAGGCAGAAGGGAAGCAGCTTGCCTTGCTGTGCCTGTGTGTTTGTGTAGACACACACAACTTACTAGCACATGCGAGGGCAGCTCTGTCGGACCCTGCAAGGGAAAGGAGCCACCCTAAAACAGGATATCAGGGCAGTGCTCAGGGAACCAGCTGATTCTGCAGGAAACTAAAATTTAATGTATCAAGGAGCAGCATTCATTGTAAGATTTAATCAGCATTTGAAATAGCTTAAAAACAATTTGACTTTAATATCACTTTAAAGAAGAACTCTAATGAACATTAAAGTCTAGTGAAAAGCTAATGTATTGTGAAATCCTGTAGTTTTTGCATTCCTGCCTGTTGGCCAGAAGCCTGATTTGTGGGTTTTACTATTCTTCAGCTCAGACAGACCTAAATTGCCAAGGTCCACTGTTCAGTGAGCAGTAGAGCAGAGAAAAGTTCACTGGCACTCCAAAATCCTAAAGGTCAAATCCTTTTTATTGGCATGACAGTATAGGTCTCTGTGTGTAGCAACGTTTTGAAACCCAATCATGTTTGCCTGAGGAAGAAACCAGATTGGGTTCCGAAAATGTTGCTACACACCGTGAGACCTATCCTGTTATGCCAATAAAAAGGATTTGACCTTTAGGATTTTAGAGTGCCAGTGAACTTTTCTTTGCTCTATGGATTGATTTGCGGTGCCAACTGCACACACCAAAGATCTTTGGGAATACAATACCGGTCAGGAATGCAATGGGATCCAGACACACTGTTCAGTGAACATGCCCCCCACTCATTAAGCGTGCCTGTTGGAACCCACAACTGTACTTTATAGGTGTGGGGGTGGCTGGGGTTTGTGTCAGGCTCATAGTCAGTAATTGCCTGACACAAGTCTTGCTCTGATAGTCATCAAACCACCTACCCATCTTGTGAGGTATGATTGTGGAAATCATTTACCCAGCACATTGGCTTCTGTACAGGTCAGCCTGTGAGAAGATGCCTTAAAGAGGACCTCTACCCCCTTTTACTTAAAATCACATCATCATGCAGCTCTGCATGCTGATTTAAAATGTTGCATTCATTAGTTAAATAAACTTACGAATAGAGTTTATCTACTACCTGGTCCAGTTCTGGCACAAATGATGTATGTGCCCAAGCGTTGCATCCTGGGAAGGTTACATCAGCAGAGCATTGCTGGGAAATCTCATCTGTGATCTCAGGGAAAGGCATTTTCTTCCCCTGAGATGATGTGCATGGTCACATGTCATTGTCACATGTGCCAGAGTTTCAGGAAGTAAAGGGAGAGCTAGTAGTCTGCCCTTAGTTAACATGGCCACTGCCAGAAGGCTGGGGAAGAAAAGAGAAATAAGATATGCAGGGAATACAAAGCTGGCAATTATCTAGAAGTACAGTGTATGTCTGTAGATTGTCATTACTAAACATTTCTAAAGGTGTGTTTATTTTAAAGATATGGGTAAAGTTCCTCTTTAACTATTATGTTGATAATTAGTTCCCCTTCTTTCAAATTCTTAGAGAATGTGCAACTGCAGTTTTTCCTGTCACCCCAGGTTGCACAACGTCATGCAGTACCATGATATGAGTGGTCAGCCCAGCTTATGGAGGCATTAATGCAAATGCATGATGCTATGCAGCCCAGCTGGACCACTAGTTGGCAGATCCAGCTGAGCAAGGGACAAAGAGGGAGTGGAACTGGGGAACTGGGTGCATGAGTTTAGCAGCACAGGCACAGCTCTGCTGTGAGTGCACCTGTCTTTGTTTTTTGCTGCCAATCTACCTGACACGTCCCGTGCCTAATGACAGTGCTTATCACCAGCGCCTGGTGCCAAGGCAATTGGTGTGAATCATAACTCATTAGGTATTCGAGGAGGAGGCGGGCATAGCAGTCTTGCTCAGCAACCAGACCACCTAGAAAAATGAGACAACGTGCTACATGCACTTTGTACCCTGAGGGACAAGAATGCATAAAGTATGATGAGTCTTCTTTTAAATATTTCCACGATCAGTAATAAAATATTTTTTCCCTAATATCCTTTAGTTAGCAAGTTTTAAATGCTCTTGTTTCATTTTGGGTTTTTGACTTATACTCTTTATAACATGGCTGGCATGAGTGCATTTGCAAGCTTGTTTTAAAAATGTAAATACAGTTTTAACATTTGAAAACAAACAACTTTAATTGTTTACACTGTTTCATGAAAAATGGATTTGTAAATTATTGTCCTGTGTGGTTGTTAGATGTGTTTGTAATACTCTATTTCAGATTGAATCAGCAGATGCCTGTCTGATCCTAGCCAACAAGTACTGTGCTGACCCTGATGCTGAAGATGCATCAAACATAATGAGGTACATTTGCATGTAATTTGAATGCAATCGTTAATAAAATGTAATATTGGCATGTAAAAACATAAAGTTATGAAAAAAATAATTACTGCTCAAAAATGTAGCCAAATGCATTATGTATAGGATAGCATGACTTAGGAAACTGGGTTTGACAGTCGGTTAACCCCTTGCCATCCACCCATCGTAAAAATATGGTACAAGTACGTGATTTTTTTTCTGCTTGTGCGCTTCCCCTGCCGTGCGTGCGTGCGCGAGCAGAGTCCCGCCGGGAAGGTAAATAGCCATTACCGGCTGTTTCATACAAGCGTTCGGCCGGCTCTATAGCGCCCCCACCCCGATGCCACTGCCGGGTATCCTGGGCACCGCTATCCGCCCTGCGGTGCCTGGGATCGAGAACACCTGCCCAGCAGCTGCTTGCAGAGAGAAGGAAGAGAGATCAGCATTTCCCCGACCATTGATCTCTCCTTCTTTCTCTAAAGGCAGAAGCGATGTGTATTACATCACTTCCGCCTTTAGCTGTCATTTCTCTGGCTGAGAGCCAGAGAAGGAGCTGATGAAGCAGATCTCTGCTTCATCCGCTTCTTTGGGGGTTCCTAGGTGACAGGGGTCTTGGGGATCCCTGATGTCTCCATAAAGAGTACCTGTCATTGTTTTCTAGCTATCACATAGTGGGCTTTTAAAAAAAAAAAGTAAAGTCTCACATTTAAAATGTAAACAAAAAAATAGTTTATGTCCCCCGCTCCCACACGCATGCGCTTCTACACGTAAATACGCGTCGGGTGCGGCTACGTGCAAAAACAACGATTACGCCACACATGTTACATATCGCTGCGAACATCGCGGTGAGAGCAATAATTCTAGGCCCATAAACCACTGATAAGACTAAACTGATGACCGGTAAACGTTTTTAAAGCGTCGCCTGAGGCCAATTTTTGGCATGGTAGTTTTTCGCGATTTTGTGGGCGCACACAATTTTAAAGCTTGACATGTTTGGTGTCTATTTACCCGACGTGACTCGTCTTTTATATTTTACCAAAAAATTGGGTAATAATAAATGTTTATAACGTAGGGAAATATCCGTCCTTTTTTCATTATAAAGTAAAACATTTAAATCCCAGTGGTGATTAAATAACACCAAAAGATAGCTCTCTGTGTCACCAAAAAATGGTATAAAATTCATTTCAGTACAGCATTGCATGGCTGAATCAAAGTACCGTAGCGCTGAATACTGAAAAATGGCCTGCACTGGAAGGGGGTTTAACACCCCGGTCATCAAGTGGTTAATGAGGATCAGACACTTTTTAAATTACATTCTGTTTACATAATACAAGTGACTAAATTACTGCATATACTTCCTGGAGTGTTGCTGGCTTTAGGAACTACAGTGACACCTTTGCCACCTTACCTTTGCCACCTTACCCCGAAAATGTTCCTTCTGACCCTTGGAAAATCTTACAATATTGATAATCATTATTGAAAAAAGTTTTATCTTACTTGTTAAATTTGTATTTGTATCTTTCAGAGTCATCTCAATAAAAAATTATCATCCAAAGATCCGGATTATCACACAGATGCTGCAGTATCACAACAAGGTGGAAATGTTATTTATTTGGTCATGTTTAAAGTTTACTTTATGTTTTTATTAATTTGTTTTATTTTCGAGAGAATGCAGAAGAGTCAAAATTTCTGTCAGGTTCCTACCCTTGCCTGTGACCCCCTTTGGTGAGACTTTCTCTCTCTTTCTGTGACTGTGACATTTGTAAAAGAAATGTATGTACGATCATTATCACAATAGGAAGGCACTGGCAGCAATGAAAACATTGCCAGGATGTCTATTTTCATTATTTTTTTTTGCCCCTATTGGCAAGAGTTCCCACCACTTCCTATCCAGATAGGAAGTGAAGAGAAATCCCCCTATTTGAGTAACAGATGACATTAAAAGCCAAAGAGGTTCTAACCTTCCCCGCTTTATCCAAAACAAAGCAAAAAACATTTGGCTGGAGTTGGGCTATAGGTTTGGTGAAGATTTGATCTGCTTCATGGTATCCCTGGAGTTTTATAGATTATAATTTGTCAAGATAGGAAAATTAGTTGATAGATCCTTCCATGCTGAATAAAAAAGTATCCACATGTTTTCAAGATTGTTGGGCTTATGCAGCAAGGCAAACAGCATTATACAAAGGCCAGTAATACAAAACAACCCATTAACATTTCACATGTAATCTAATTTTAGGAAACTCAAACTTTATTGGTTGCCAGGGATCACCTTAATTTGTGAATTGTCGTTGACTATTGTGCTATACCATTGAAGGGTTTCTAAACCCTCCGTTTCTTTGCCTATATCTACTGCTAGCAAGCAGTAGATATAGGCAAAACCTTTTTTTTTTAAAACCGCTTTAACAGCAGTTTACACTTACCCCATCTTCGCTGCGCGCTCCCGTCCGAGAAAATGAAACTGCTTGGCTGGCCGCAAAGCATCTTGGGGCAGGTGCATGCGCAGTTCGGATTTTCGGATGGGAGACGCAAGGTAAGTCTATGGACGCGTGCACCCGCATGCAGACACCGCTGGATCGCAAGTGCCTGCAAGGACAGAGGAGTCGGCGCTGGATCGGAGAGCCGCCGCACTGCTAGAGGGACAGATGAAAAGGACAGGAAAGAAGAAGAAGATCGGATTAAGAGACATCATTTAAGGTAAGTGCTGACGTTAACATTGGGGGGAGGGAAACATTTTTTTGCCTTTAATGTCACTTTAAATAGGCATGTGTTGCCTCTTGCTTATACCTGTGTTGGTTTATTGTGCCTGCAGGCTCATCTACTAAACATCCCTAGCTGGAATTGGAAAGAAGGAGATGATGCCATTTGTCTGGCTGAGCTGAAGCTGGGCTTCATTGCTCAAAGCTGTCTGGCACAGGGCCTATCCACTATGCTTGCAAACCTCTTCTCTATGCGTTCTTTCATAAAGGTATGAGTTCTTCTACATTCTTTACTTTCTTACATTTCTAGGTCTTTCTTTCTGAAGTAGTTAATTGTGCCAAATGGACACTAAAGTCTATTTAGAAAACTAACATCCATCAATATCTGTAAAAGTTTTTTATAAACAGCAGATAGTAGAATATAATACTGGATTAGGAGAGGCCTGTATTATGATGTCATAGGTCTGTATTTCCTTAGCTTTGTTATATTAACATGAATGCTTCTAAACTGTCAAGGATAGATTGCTAATTATAGGCTTTTCATGTTATGTGATGTCTATAGGAAAGTTATATTTTTAAACTAGACACTGTTTATCTTTTCAAACTAGTTTTATGTTGATGTAAACCTATGGTAGTTAAAAATGATGCTCTATTGTATAAGCGTAAATTATTTTTTATTATGTTTATTTTCTCATCTTTAACCTTTAACCTTTGGGTTATACTGCCTCCTACAAAAGGTTTGCAAACTGGAAAACAAAAAGAATGGTAGGCCAGACCGGGATAACTCCTTCCGCTGCCAGCATGCCTCAGGTTTTCCATTAACCCTTTCGCTGCCAAGCCCTCCGGAACATTTTTCAAATCAGCTGGCCAAGCCATTTTTGAATTTTCTGCAATTTTTTCCTATTGATTTGATTTTCAACTGCTGCGTTGCTAGCGTTTGTAAAAGACCCCCCAAACCATATATTTTCTGAAAGCGCAGGCCCGGTAGAATAAAAAGATGGTGATACTAAATTTGTAGGCCCTGCGATAATTGTGCAAATGTTTCTCAAATTAATATTAAACCGATAAAAATACACAATTCAATTGTTAAAACACACCAAAATCAGTATCCGTGCACAAAAAAAAATATTTTCTGACTAAATCTAAAAGATAAAACTGTATTGAGTTAATAAATAACAAATATTAGCAAATTTGTAATTGCGCCTTTTTGCGAAAAGGTAAAAAAATGAAGGTATGCAAAACTGTAAATCGACTTATGTAACAAATTGTTTTGGTGTTTGTGTTGTGATAAAATGATACAGGTGTATATTTAATTGCAACACAAGGTATCACAACGCATGGCAATGAGTCAGAAAGCTTTGCCATGCGCTGCCACAGTTAATTTAATGTTTTTTTAAAGAAAAAAAATAAAGAAAAAAGATCATGCACTGCGATGCGTTCTAACAACGCAGTGCAGCACATGTGCATGGTGTGCACCACAATATGGTGACCAAGGTAGTTGCGCTAGGATATATGAA